CGTAAGAAGGAGTGGGTTGCTCCTCCTCTCAAGGCCACTCGTGGTACGCTGTACAAGTTCATCAAGAACGTCAAGTCTGCTTCAGAGGGCTGCGTTACTGACGAGTAAGCTACATTAATCGTTAGATGAGATGGAATAGTGTAGATATGTGCAGCTTGAAAGATAAAAAGACAAGTGAAAAACACTTTTGCTAACTACCAACACTTGTCCATCAACTACTGTGATCCGCCAGTCGCGAGCGTTTGTTGCGTATGGTAAGACTTGAGGAGTAGCTTGCGCATGCGTTCCTGGGCCTCGTAGTAGCCAGCACTTCGTTCACCGGCGACTGACCGTGTTGAGTTTAAGTTGACTGTCGAAGGCGTGGCCACGGGCGGCATCTCGTCTTCCACAATTTCGTATACGCGACCAACTAGTGCCTCCGATTGGTCTTTACCGTTGTTGTGGCTCTTACCAGTGGCACTGCTACTATTAGGCCGGTCAAAGAGCATCGCCGGGTGCATTGGCGTCGGCGCTGGTGCTCGTTTTGTGAAGTCAGCTTCTTCTGGGCTGGAGGCACCGTTTGTGTTGTTGTTTTTGATAATGATGTTACGCTCCATTGTGGTGACTGCCAAGGTGGCGAGTCGCTCCATAGTGAAGGCACAACTTGCTCCGAGAGTGTCGCGCTTAGCATAGTCAGCAACGCAGACATATCCAAGTTTCTTTCCGGTGCGAGAGTAGATTGGGCACCCAGCGAAGAAGCGGATAGCTGGGAGTGACCGCAGCGAGAAGAATTTGAGCGCCTGCTTATCAACACTGGCATCCAGTACGATAGTCGGGGTGGACCCCATGATCTTCTCGATAAAGACGGACAGTTCGCCTTCAAGTGTTGAGCTCTCGTCGAGACCAACAGCAGAACGGATAAAGTTGTCCTTGTCGTCCACGATTGAGACCGATGCAATCGGACAGTTGAGTGTCTGGCACGCCAACTCGCACAACAGGTCGAACATGTTGCTGTTACTCCCCGTCGAGCGCTTCTTCTGCTCCATCGCACGCAGTTGCGTCTTCAGACAGCGCTCATTGATAAAGTCGTCGTAGTCTTCGGTAGGAGAGCCCAAACACGCCGACATGGGGTGCACCACGGCTGTGACTTCATTATTGTCGACGGGGCTGCCGACGGGTTCGACGCTCTGTGCGGAGATAGTGTACTCGCTGAACGAATCCGCCGATTGGTTGTCGACAATGCTGTTAGTGGCGGTGCTGTTGGCTCTGAATGAGCCCTGTGCACGGTTGTTAGTGCCACTGGATGCCGCATCCGAGGTGGTGCTGTGGCTGTAGCTGTCCTCTTGATGACCAGCTTGGTTGTTGTCGGTGTATGAAGACCGTGCAAACGACGATCCGGCAGTCGATGATCCGACGTTACTGAGGCTGCGAGCGCGTACGAGGTGGTCGAACACGTTGGTCTTGGCGAGCTGCTTAAGCGGAGTGGTGCGTGCTCGGATGGAGCAAACTTTACAGAGGCGCAGCTTCGAGTAGCCGATGGCAGGCAGATCAATCGTTTCGACCGTCGAGCAGTCCGAGCACACGACCTCGCCACAACGACGGCAGTGGTGTTTACGTCGCAGAGCGTGGAAGTTACGTGTGCACAGATTACACGTTGTGCGTTCATTGTTCTTAACCCATGTGGCTCGTTGGATGTAGAGCTGACTGCCCATGCGTAAATCCTCGACGATCCCTTGCAGTCGATTGAGGCAGCTTAACAGAATAGCACTGACCATAGGTGCATGCTTTGAGGGGAAGCTACCGCACACGATGACTTCAGTCTCGTCCTCAGATACTTTGCGCCAGAACAACCCCAGTTTTGTGAGCTTCGTCCGTGCCACGTGGTGCGTATCCTTGAGCTCCATGCAGCCTACGCGTTCACCTTCAGCCGACGTGAAGCACCACACATGCACACGCTGGCGTGGCTCAGAGTTGGGCACATATGCCAACGAGAGATAGTCCACTAGACACACGTCACGCTTGCCTGAAAGTCCTGTCTCGAAAGCCGCCCACTTCACCGTCAGCATTTCCTCGGCTTGTTCACCTAGTCCGTCTGCAGCAGCGGCAGCCTCTTCTTTCAAGCGCTCTTCTGTGGAGCTGCATTCCGACGACAGTTTTCCTGTAGGAGTGTCAACCGAGCTGGCCTCCGAGTTCCTGTGCGGATACGACTCGGCTCCTTTGTCCCAAACACTGCCGCGTCTAGTCTCATTTTCACCGTGATCCTTTTCCTGATTGTTGTCCAAGTTTTCTCCACTGCCACTGCCTTCAGGTTGGCTGTTTGAACGAGCAACCCGCCCTTGTGCTTGCACTGTGTCGACGTCGATGTCATTGGGCTTGATGACGTTGTGGAGGATGAGGGTGTCCACATAGTACTTGCCGAAGCACTTGCGCATGAACTCGCGCCAGCTCTCCGAGTTGGTATTGGCAACGACCTGGTTAACCTCGTGCTCCTGGCAACGGAGCACCGTAGCTGCACGCACGAGTCGGTACGAGACTGCCATGTTGCTCGTGTCCTTGCGGATCTGAGTGCCATCCTTCTCAGGAGGAACGTATCTCCATTGGTCGTTGAATGACTGGTTCAAACAGGTGAGTGCGTTCGCCTTCGCTAACCGGTACAGTTTATCGTTCTTGAACTTGGCCAGCGGGAGGCTGCGAAAGAAGTCGGATCGCAATGGGAACCCGGCATTGGTGTGCGAGTGGTTCATTTTCCAAAATGGTGACTACGACGCGTAGTAAGGTGAAATGTTCACGTACGACGTTTAGCGCTGGTCGTTGCTGGAGATCCGAGATGTTCAGAGCAAATGCCGCAATGAGCTCGAGGTCGTTTCGCTCCACGGCAAGAGTATAAGTGACGAGTGACCGAACACAAGGAAAAGCGCAATGAAGTGGAGGACTATGCAAAGCGCCCACACGGAAACGGCTGCCATGCCGTTATGCCCCAGCTCAACATACCAAATAACGCAGAAACTCAATGGCGGAATCCGGAAGAGAAGAACAGTTAAAGAACCGTGGAATGGAAAAAAGGGGAGAGTGAGTAGCGATTGACTCGGTTGCAGAGCTACCAGTATTGACCTACACGTTGCGGCGCTCAAAACAATCAAAGCGATTATGGAAAACGTCCGGGACAGGCATGGTCACCCAGTCCGACAACTTCAAGCTGAGCCCCTCGCGAAAGCGAGCAATTGGTTGGTTCATCGTTCACTCATGGGAGCTCCGGATCTCGCCCATGAAGATGCGCATCGGTGTTTGGCTCACGGAGTTAATGGGAGTATTTGAACCTTTACTATCTTCGGGTAAAGCGCGTCGTACAATAGGAGCGAAGCAATGCTTCAAGCATGGGTAGCGCGCTTGATAGAGCGGGAGCTGTACTTCGTGACTCCGAGTCAGACTTGGCCGCGTGAACATTTCAGAACTCGCTGCTCTCTGAACTTAGCCGTTTCTCCAGACTCATTGAAGCTCTTCGGCGGCAGTTCTCCTGCACGTGCTGGAGTGTTCGTTGGTAGCAGGCACTGGCTTGCAGAGCTTATCGTTCGGTGGTGCAAGAAAAGAAAAGAATCTGTGCGTTGACCTTGACAACGATTGTATGTGCTGAGAAATCGAGTGAAGAGGTTCGACCTCTTCTGCTGTTTGAGCTTACACCTCGAGGGATAAGGTGCGAGTTCACAAATATCAAAGTATCGTACACTCGCTGCCGTTTCTTGAGTGAACAGCAACCGTTGTTTCCAAGAATCGCCTATCGTTCGTTAAGACTGGCACCAACGACTTCTGCGTTTAACTGGGTCGTTACAGTACCTCCCAAGCCTTCTTTCCCAAAGGCGATTGTATTTTGCCCCAGTCCTTCTCCAGTGACGACCACTCTCACCGTTGTACTGCGTTAATCATTTATCTTCGTCGTGCATACATGGAGCCATCTCGGGAAGTGGACGTAAAAAACATAACTAAAGCTGGTAAAACTGGGCTGACATCCAGCCACTGCGCTAGCACTCGAGCTCACCACGCAATAGTGACATGAGCGATTTGAAAACAAAACGATGACATGAACGTCAGCCTACTTCAACTTGATCTCGGAGGTAGATGTACATCATTTTCATTACAGCTGTTGATCGATTCATTTTCGGTGTGCCGGAAGAGCTGAAAGGGTCTTAGATAGCAATTTTGGCAACTTACCAATGCAAGTGCCTCGAATAAGATTAATGCCATCTTGTTAGTACTGTATTCATGAGAACTACGGCATCTACACCGAAGGTTTACGCTCCAGCCGCTCAGACTGGACGGCTTCAGCATCAAGGGTCAACCTGGTGACAGTTGGATTGATCTGTCATCGATGCCTGCCAAGTTCTCCCTACCGACACGTTTTCGCCTCACGATTGCGCGCACTGCAAAAGAGGCACACGCACTTGTCTATAATAGCAACATGGCAGCACGTGGCTGCACACACGATATCCGCACTCCATTCCAGACCCGATCATTTTGGTGCGCGATGCCAAATGCTTCAGTCCCGTAGCCTCCCGGTGATTTGCAAACAAGCAATGATTAACTTTACGACAGCTTCAACATGTTTAACAAGCTGATACGCGGTAAATATTTTATTTTTTATTTACATCTAGCCGAAAATACTCGCTTCCCATTGGTCGACTAAAGTCGGCGCATCATCCTTGCAAAAGTTCAACTCGGCCGAAATGGCTCGAAGTGCGTCAGCAGCACCAGGAGCTCACTAGCGATTCCGCCCCTTGAGCCCCAAGTCTCCACGGCTGTCCTCTATTCATATATTAACTAGTGCTCATGCTCGCACGTCGTCTATTACGCACCACATCCGCTCGCTTGAGTCTCCGCGATGCCGCCCCGCACATCCTGCGGCGTCCAACTCCGTTGGCTGCGTCAACATCCCCGTTGACGTTCCGCTCCTTCTCCATGATCGTGCACGAGTCGCCGCACCCGGAAGTGGAAATCCCGGACAAGACCATTTGGGACATCGTCGGGGACCAGTTGAGCGTTCACGCGGACAAACCCGCTTTCATTGACGGCATCACGCACCAGCATGTGTCGTTCAAGGAGCTCCATGAACGAGCTCGGCGGTTCGCCATTGCTTTGGCCAAAAACGGCGTCAAGAAGGGAGACGTACGTAGCTTTCTACACAGAAAATTGTAGTTTCTGTCGGATACTGATGATATTGTGGCTTTGCAGTCGGTCATCGTGCACTCGTTCAACTGCCTGGACTACCCCACAGTTGTACTCGGTACGTCTGTAAGCGTTTTATCTTACGTTAACCGAATGGAATTACTCAAGATCGTTCCGGTGATGCAGCGCTGACTTCGCTTGGTGCTGTGTGCTCTCCTTCGTCACCTATGTTCCTGCCGGACGAACTGGCCGTTCAGGTCAAGGCGTCGAAGGCCAAGTACATTATCACCCACAAGGACCTGAAGAAGACCGCAGTCGAGGCTGGCAGAATGTGTGGCATTGAAAACAAGTTCATCTACACGATGGGCAAGTCTGCTCAAGGCCTCAAAAGCATTGAGTAAGCTCCATATCTTTGCTGTGGAGGAAGTATCTGGTACTAACTTTACGTTCTATTCCTTTTAGTGACCTCGTTCAGCATGACGACGACAGCTTCCAATTTGAAAAGATCGACCCGGAGAGCAACGTCATGCTGCCGTTCTCTAGTGGAACGACGGGTATCCCCAAGGGCGTCGCATTGAGCGCCAGGAACATGTTATCGAACGCGCTGCAGGTCGACCATGTGCAAGATCTGTGCGGATACTCGCTTGGCTTGCTGCCTTTCTTCCACATCTACGGCATGATGATGATGCACTTATCAATGTACCAAGGTGCTGCCAAGGTGATCCTGCCTCGATTCGAGCCCGAGACGTTCCTCAATGCATTGTCCACTTACAAGGTAAGCCACTTTACTATCTGCTTTACACAGCTGATATAGCTGATCGGTTGATTGTTTAAAGATCCGCGCGGCCCACATTGCTCCCCCCGTGGCTCTGTTCCTGGCTCACCATCCTCTCGTCGAGAAGTACGATATCTCGGCAACACAATTCCTGGTCTCTGGTGGAGCACCCATGGGCAAAGAAGTGGAGAAGCTCGTCAAGGACCGACTCAAGGTCACAGTGAAGCAAGCGTACGGCATGACTGAAGCTTCGCCTGCTGTTAACTACGCCGAAGACGCCAATCGCAAGCCGGTGAGTACCAGGAGTGCTCCAATCTATACCCAAACCAAATAACTAACACTGCTTTTGCTTTCCAGGGAAGTGTTGGTCGACTGCTACCAAACACGCAGCTTCGTGTCAAGTGCACTGCTACCGACAAAGACTTAGGTGTGGGTGAGCACGGTGAGCTGCTGTACAAGGGCCCTCAGGTTATGCTCGGTTACTCCAACAACGCCGAAGCGAACAAGAGCGTGTTCACTGAAGACCGCTTCTTGCGCACTGGTGACATTGGTTTTATCGACGAGGATGGCTTTGTGTTCATCGTCGATCGCGTCAAGGAGCTCATCAAGTACAAGGGACATCAGGTGGCACCGGCTGAGTTGGAGGACGTGTTGAACCACCACCCGCAGATCTCGGATGCGTGCTGTGTGCGAGGCAAGGACGCCATGGGAGAGGAGATCCCTAAGGCCTATGTGGTACTAAAGGACCCGACGAACGCTGCCGGACTCAAGGAAGAAGACGTCATGGACTTTGTGGCTTCGAAGGTCGCTCCGTTCAAGAAGGTGCGCCAGGTGGAGTTCATCGACGCCATCCCGAAGAGCGCGACCGGCAAGATCCTGCGACGTGAGCTCCAGGCGTATGAGAACCAGCACCACAAGAAGGCGAATGCGGCGTAGGCATGTAAAGAAAGCTATTCACATCAGCGTAACGCAGCGTTAAATGTAAGTCACCCCACCTATTAGATCGAACTGTGTACTTATGCAGATGGTTGGCGTTTGAGGAAGTCTAGCAGTGCAGCGTTCACTTGGTTGGACTGGGTCAGTGCTTCCTGGAGGCCTCGAATGGCCTCGTTCGACTGCTCGACGACTTGTTTCATGCCGTCCATGGATCGAGCCATATCGCTCTGCACATTTTGAATAGTCTCCAGCTTTTGTGCCACTTCATTGGTAGCATCAGGAGCTGCATTTGCAACGGGACGCAGGTCTTGTTGAACAACCGAAGTCTCTGAAGTATTTAGTCTCCTCCTCTTTACATCAGGAGAAGACGCCAGCCTGACCTCTAGACTTTGACTTTGAGGGGCTGCTGGCACAGGAGCTGAATAGATTGGAGGTGCCATTGAGGCCTGTGCGTACGAAGGGGTTGTCAGAGGGACCAGCGGTGCTGACTGTGCTGGCAACTGGTTGTCCAACTGACCCGGTACACTCAGTGCTTGGTTGGCATCCCTTTCCTTCACAACAGTCTCCTCATGATCCAGTCCAACATCATGGCTGCTGTGCACGCCTTCTTCTCCAAAATACTCGGCCAGCATATCCCAACAGCGCGGGTATATCACCAGCTTGGTAGGATCTTTGGCAGCCGCATCCTCCTCACCACGTATTTTCACATACTGCTCTTGCAAATATCTGAACTTGGCACGCAGTTGCGTCACCGTGACTGCCTCGTCGTGCATGGTATTGAACTCTCTCTGGATGATCTCCCACAACTCGCGATGTTGCGACTGATCTCGAGCGTCAACGAACTGCTCCCCGTACTTGACAAGCCGCTCAATGAGTAGCGACTCAATAAGCGCATCACTCCAGTTCATTCTGCCAGCGCTTTTGGGTCTCTTTGGCTCGGGCGATGCCTTCTTCTCCCTCGCGCGACAGCGCACGTATTGTCTCTCCGGCAGCGGCGCATCTTGACTGGGCAATAAGTTGCTATTGACGACTTTGCCGTTACGTATCAAGTCTCTGGCTCGGTACACGAGGCGCAGCTGTTTCTGAAGCGATATGCCGTGGCGCTCCAGCACCAGGTCCATGAGGCACTCGATCGAGGCCTTCGGGTTGGTCTGCACGGCCTCTACGAATGCTGGTAGTGCGGCGACCTGCCGCGTGGTGAGACGGCACACCGAATTGCAGCCCTCAGAGTGTGTCAAATCTAGTGACGCGATGTACCATTTGCCGTACGTCTTCTTGTCGGCCATGCGCTTGCGGTAAATCTGCACGAAGAAGCCACATGGCACTTCGGACGAGCACACCAGACGCCGGTCCGAGCCGCTCGCGCGCTCCACGCGAACGGACTTGCGGAGCGCCAGCGCATAGTCCTGCACGGCGTGCGCGCTCTCCGGTCCAGTATCGAACGCCAGGCCTACTTCCAATGGGGCAGAGTTGAGACTCATTCGACGACAAGAGGTGTAGGAAAGCGCGAAAAACGAAATGCCATATTCTTTTCTTGACACTTTCTGTGTGGAGGACACAATTTTTTTATTTTACTTTGGAGCTGACTGGCTGATATTTTTGTAATTTTGAATTCGCTTACCGTTCACGCTTCGGTTTTGTGCCGGAGGCGTTGCCACAACCAGAAGTACGATACTATAACAGATAATACTATTGTATTATATTGTAAAGCGACCCGGAAAGCAACCTTAGCAAACCGTGAACGGGTGTCATGAGCCTTCAAATCTTCAAAAATGAAGTTGGTGCCAGCATTGTAAAAAAATCTTCTTTTTAGAGTGGTAAAAAGGCAAGTATAATACAATTTGACTGGGAAATCCAGACTCGTGAAAAATTACCGTCGTGGCAAATGCCTATCGTGGAGCTCCAAAGGCACCATACTTTCACTCACTTCGGATTATGAGTTTTTATCCACATACCCCCCCCTCCAGTTGCAGCCCGATTCACTAGGATGAGTTTTCTTTCAGCGCCCTCTGCCCCCGTCACTCGCTATCCGCTACTGCACCCGTTGCGTTGGTACTGCAATACCTATGCTCGGCTATGCCCTAGTTCTCCTTGCTTCAGATCTTCGCTGTTACGCTATCCGTGTGCATTTGATACATCACGTTCGCAAAAGCAGTTCGTGTTCAAGCCAATACCAGATACTATAATTTTGTTTCCAAGTCAAGAGTCTGACTGTGCTGACAATGTAGCTGTATTAAAACTTTTCTGGGAGCCTACGCTGCTGATGAAGAAGATCCGTCCCAATCAGGCGAGGCGTGCGCGATCGGAGACTGTGACACACGATCGTAGCAACAACGGCGGAGTGCAATCGCGCGGTACGCTCGGAGAATTCCTGGCTGGTCAATGAGGGCACAGACGACACAACGACGAGGGAACAGCACCGCGAAAGCACGATTGATAGAAGACGCGATCCTAGGCGCGAATATGTTGAATGGAAAGCGATCAAGAATAGCAACACAGGCACGACCGACAAACTGAAGAGACAGCGGTGATTGGTGGCAGACCAAATATTGAAGCTGACGGATTAAGGGGACACCTGACGTTGGACCAAAAGTTGATGCAAGTTGACCAATATGGGATACTGATCTCGGGCAGGTGCTAACGGACCACGGATTCACAGCGATCGACATGTACGGATGATTAATCGGAAAAGAACTGGTCCTCCTCCTTAGTGTCGGGGTCGTGTATCTAGCAGGCCGACGTAGGAACGAGAACTAGAGCGATAATCCAAATGTAACTTGATGTATTCTGAGTAATTCTCTCTTGAGAAGGAAAAACACGACTGAGCCTCTCCCCACGGTCTCCCTACGACCACGAAGCTCCTTACCTATCCACAAATCTCTTCTCCGGTGGTGGTACACGACGAGGTACCTCCACATTCCCTTCACTCCAGACCCACTCTAGACATGGAACGCCGCCGTCTGCTCCTCTTGCCCTTGCTTGTAGGATGTAGCCCGTTGAGCCTGTAGTTGCAGACCTTCTGGATACAATCCACGAGGATAGCGAGTCCTCCATCTAACTGTAGACCGTGGCAATTCTCCCCGACTAATCCTCGGCGCCCTCGCCGAGCCGCTCCGCCCGACGACGGTCGCACGGTCCTATCAGCGGACACTTCTGGAACGCCACCCTTCGGCGTTCCATTCGACGTCGCACTCGCAGCTTGAGCCTCCGTAGGCGTTCCTTTCGCTTGCACCCCGCGTAGACGCTCCAAGCTGGCGCGCTCCATTTCTTCGAAGCGCCCTATGCATCCAGTGAGTCCGTTTTACCCTTGCTTCACGTTCAATCCCAGCCCGGCCCTTCTGTTGGGGCGACACGCCCCGTAATCCCGTAGGCCATGACTATAGCAGCCAACCACTAGAACAGCCACACTCCAGTAGCAGCTTTCTACTGTAAACTCGAGGTAGACATCCACCACGAATGTAACGAACGCCACGCCGATCCAACCGCCTAGCACGCCTTCCACACTCTCGTACACCAATCGGGGCAGGTACACTAGCATAGACTGTAACCGCGCGGCCGTCAAATAGGTACCCACTAAGAAATGACCTGTCCTCTCGATCACCGCCATCGCAGCTTCTCCCGTAGCTCGCGCGTACTTGCAGGTCAACACCCAGAGTAGCTGGATCGCGTCAGGAACGAACATACAGCGCGAGTGGTGGAACGTCTCGCACCACCTCAAGCACAGCCGTCCTGTTATCCCAAACCGTAATCTTGCAGTACAGCAATCGGGATCAGGAGCGCCAACGAGACTAGGGCGCACGCATACTCGAGAGGAGGTAGCGCAGAGGCATTCGCGTTCCGCGCTGCTTCGAGATATCTGTACCAGAAGAAGTAAACCGTCCTTCAGCTGTCGACGACGCTGTCCAGGAACGCCCACGAGACGTTCCTTAGCGGAGTAGTTACCACCAACACTACGATGCCTGCAGCGGCACTACTAGTGAGCGGCCAGTGGTTGGTTGTTCTTGCTACCTCCGTTACCTCCACGGCCCCAGCCCACGCTAGCCAACTCTCCATTGTCCGTCGATTCTCGGAGTGATCTTTTAACTGTCGTCCACCGTTAGGACTGGTGTCCTACCTAGCGCCTACTCGCTCTGGGTCAGTTACCATCATCGCGTTCCACTTCAATGTCCCTTCCCAGCTGGCGTCCCACTTGCGTACCCCGATGGCAGCCACTAATCATACCCGAAATGAGATCCTTCAGTCTCAATTTTCTAATTGACCCACACAGCCGACGCCTTTGTCATGACGACTCGACTCACCGCCACCGAGTTGAAGCGGTCTCGCGACTTCCTCGACGCTGCTCGCGATCGCGAAGAACATGGTACTTCTTCCGACGACGCCTAGGCCCTCAAGCGACAGCACTGGGACGAGCTGCGTACGCACCTCGAGGTTAACGGCATGCCCACGGGCCTCCAACACCTCAGTCAACTCGTCGAAGACATCATCCAAGGCAAGTCAAGCGTCGGCCTAAAGGGCCCTGTTGTGATTATGCCTGCCACGCCCGGCGTTCCACGCGCCCGCAACCCGCGGGGTCGTCCAAGAAGTCATCCTCTTCGACCAAGAAGCCCGCGACATCACCCAAAAGTGACGTCTAAACGTAAATCCAGCGCCGACGACACTGTATTCAAGCCAGCCTCCAAGAAGCTGCGCTCTACAGAGAAGCTGAAGGCATCGATGCTGCCGTCATACGACTTTGCCAATCTACTAGAAGTGAGTACGAGCTGCGATCGCCATAGTCCTTCACAAGGCAGAAGTAGCTGGCAAGACGCCCTGGCGCCTGGCGTACCCTTGGACGGGTTGGCCTCTCTGGTACGATCCAGCTGGAGATCGGAACGTCCATCGGGCCCACTGGCGGTTCTGGATGACACACCGGCGCCTTTCTGGGAGTGGGAGTTCCATGGCCCTCTCGAATCAGGTTCAGCCCAGTCCAATCGCCGCAAGCCGAAAATGCGAGCGGTTCTCGCTCGCCTGTCCTTTTCAAGCCTCTGCGTTCTGCTCGTTTCTTCACCTTTGATCTCCCAGTTACTCTTCAGGCTCCCTATTAGTCGTATCATCCTTTGGCACGCCGTCGACGCGTTCCATATCCGTAGGATCCATTCCCCCTTACCGATTAACCCGACACCGTTCCAAAATGGCAAGGCCCACCTCGTTCCACAATCACCAACCCCAGAATACTCCAAAGGGAGACAACACGTAGTTATCCCAATATGCACAATATAAACACCGTCTCGTGTCTTGGAACTCGGAAGTCCTCAAGCACACTCCCCAGCGTGACCCTTCCAGCTGGTCCACGTGCCAGCCAGAACATCATCTCCGCGTCGATAAACAAAGCGTTTGGCTATATGCTTGGGACGACACAAGCGGATCAGCAGGTATCTCCAGTCTTGAGCGGGTGGAAGCCTAAGGATGGGCTCGCTTGCCTTCATATTCACCACTTGACACACTAGTCCTTGGTCGGGCACTTAAACTCCAGGCTCTGATATTCTCGAACACTCTGGGATTTGCTGACGAAGCCCTCAACCTTGACGAAGACGCAGCCGAAGTCCTGACCGCCACACTGATCTTGTACTACTCTGATATGCTGCGCCTCAGTGACCACAGCCCGTACGTCACAAAGATGTGAGGGTGAAGCATCGCCCACGCCTTCAACAAGCTCAACGAAGCCACCATTACGGCGCAGACACCGGTTCCCCGGAAGGACATGGTGCTCGACACCATGTCAGGTAGCACTAAGTACAGAGCCATTGATTTAATAGATGGATCCTATCAGATCTTGATGTGTGAGGATGCCGTGCCACTAACCGCTGTCAGCACGCCCAGTGGCACGCTCTGGGAATAGCTTGTCCTGCCACAGGGGCCGAAGAACGCCCCTGCCACCTTCGATCGCATGGTCTCGAACCTACTGCGGCCCTTCCGAGACTTCGTGTCCAGTTACTTCGACGACATCTTCATTCACAGTCGTGTCGAGGACGGTACAACGGACGTGGAGGTCCACCTGCGGCGCCTCTGTCAGGTGTTTGAGGTGATGCGAGACAACAAGCTGTACGCCAACTTGAAGAAGAGTATTTTCTGTGCTCCCGAGATCCCAGTGCTCGGGAGCTACGTCAGCAAGGATGGTGTCCGCTTGGATCCGAAGAAAGTCGAAGCCATCTGCGCTTGGCCGGCGCCGCAGGATCCGAAGCAACTTCGGTAGTGGTTGGGACTGGCGACGTATCTTGACCACTCCTCGGAGAATTTTGAGGCAACCGTTCGCCCGCAGTCGCAGTTCCTCGAGGTTGACGCCACGTGACCGTGGCGTCCTGACCATCAACCGCGTTCGACGCTATGAAGAAGAGCTTGTCCTCAGCACCCGTCCTTATATTGCCTGACCACCCGAAGCCCTTCCACATTGTCTGCGATGCGAGCGACTTCGCTATTGGCTGCGCCCTGATGCAGTTCGACGAGGATGAACGCGAACGCGTGGTGAGCTACCAGTCGCGTCAGTTGAAGCCGGCGGAACGCAACTATCCCGTCCAAAATAAGGAGCTGCTGGTCATGCGCTACGCACTAATCAAGTTTCGTGTCTACCTTCTGGGGGAGCAAACCTTCGCCATCTACACGGACCACTCCTAGCTGCGGATAGCGACGAAGAGCCCTCACCTTCCCAGCGCATGGCGCTCTGGCTCTCATTGTTCCCCGAGTTCAATTTCGTCGTTCACTAAACCCAACATCCTCGCCGACGCGCTGTCGCGTCGACCAGACTATGTTCAGTCGTGTCGCCACGCGGGTGGCGACGAGGATGACAGCAACTGCGCAGTTTTCGTCGCAGAGGAGCTGGCCGCGGTCGCTGTTACAGCAACCTGCCCGCTCCGTGACCTGGTAGCATCGGCGTGCGAGTCGGACCATGCGTGTGTAGAGATTATCAAGTACATGAAGGACCCGTCCGCCGCGGCTCGGCGTCAATTATCTCCGCTTCACCGCTCCAGCGTCGACAGCTACACGCTGGATGGGAACCTTCTCACCTATTGCGTTGACTGTTTGGACCCTCCTCGCGTCGTCGTCCCGCCGGACGACGGCCTCCGCGCTCGCCTGATTCACGAGTTTCATGATACTCCCAGTGGCGGCCACCTTGGTCACGAAAAGCCGTTCACGTCGCTGCCTTGCGACTACTACTGGCCACACATGTACATGTGGGTGCAAAAGTGGGTCCGCTCCTATGAGGCGTGTCAGCGCGTGAAGCCAAATTCGTCGAAACATGCACCTCTCCGACCGCTGCCTGTCGCCTCGGAGCCTTGGTCATCTATCAGCATGGACTTCGTGTTTGGGCTACCCCAGGACGCCCAAGGCCGCTCCGGCATTCTCGTCTTCGTTGATTGTTTTAGGAAGATGGTGCATCTCACTCCGGCTGCCGCCACGATCACCGCGCAGCAGCCCGCGGCGATTTTCGTCGACACCGTGTATCGCCACCACGGCCTGCCCACCTCGATCGTGTCCGATCGAAATCCCCGGTTCACTGCTTCTTTCTGGTCGGAGCTCCTTAAGCGCGTTGGGACGCGACTAAAGATGCTCACCGCGTCGCACCCGGAGACGGCCCTGTGCTTGTGGATAACGCTGGTAATATCCGGCATATTGTGGAGGCCATCCTTCGTCACGACGATAACTACGCCGCGATGCTCTAATTCCTGATCACCGTCGATTTTTCGTCCGCTGGCTGGATCCCATGGACGATAGATGGGAACCTCGCGCTCTGCTGCTGGTGGACGTGCTGGAAAGTGTGGGGGCGTACGAGGCGGCTCTTGCTGCAGGCGCAGTAGCGAGCCGTGTCTAGCTTCGTAGGGGCGACGACGGTAGCAGCCGATAAGGCGCTCTTCCGTTTCGGAGAGGGGATGGTCTCGGACGTAGTGGCGCCACTCGGACTCATATGGTCGCGGCAGGTTGAAGCCGCGACAATTCGGGCAGCCCTCAAGGTAATGAACGTAACAGTACTGCCGGTCCGTCGCCCACGACAGGTCGCAGAGACGAGCTGCCAGAATGCCGACCGACATGCGCTCGTAAGTGGCCTCACGTGCCACGATGGCGTTCCAGAAGATAGGCCCTGTTTCCCAATTCCACCGCTCCATGAAGGAAGTCCAAGCGCAGCCGAGCTACTCCTCCGTCACGATATGAGGCACTGTGACGCGTTTGCCTCGGACGCCGCGCCACCGCTGAAACCAGCTCCGCATCTCGTCTTTTAACAACGGGCCTCGGAAGTCACTGCATTCACCAAACCGACGGCGCCTAAGGACACCAGCGTATCCGCCGCTGGCGTCTGATCCTGCTGCTGGTTCTCTTCCTGCGTCCAGCCTGCTATCTGCGCTGCAGGTCCTCGATTGCTGTCATCACCGAAGTCTCCACGTATTTTCAGGTTTGAGAGGAACTGTCACACAATGTCGCCACCGCTCCATCGCGGTGACCAATCAGAGCTGTGCGCGTATCCACTGGTTGTGACGGCCTCGAGTGTCGAGGCCGTTTCGGTAGTTAACATTCACAGTTCAATACACTTACACCTTCCCAGTCGTCTAGTGTACATCGGTACCGGTCTGAGCCCGTAACAGTAACGCTCCACAATGTTGTGTGCTGACACGCAACCCGTCGGCGTTTTCAAGCCACACGTAGTCACTCTACTGTTACTTACAACAAGGCTTCGGGCCCACTCTTCTATTTTTTCCACCCGATTGTGTAAACCTTCACTTCGCGTTCTAAGGCCACACCGCCCCCCCCCACTCCACGCACACACACTGACGACAACGTAGCTCGATGGCTAGAGCGCAGGGCGATGTTAGTTCAAATTCAACCGTTACCATTTCTTATCTGTTGGTTTATGGGATGGATTTACTTACTGACTACTAGCACAACCTATACGTGTCCAAGGACAGAAGATTTAAGACAACCGTCTGGACAATGCGTCGTCGGAGCGTCGACCTGCTGGATGTTTTGCAATGATCGCTACACTAAAGCGAATGTAATTGTTTGATTTAGAGCGTGCTTCGTTGATATAAATGCTACTGGTCTTCGGTGTTTGTCTACAACATGTGGTGGTTGAGAATGATGTCCTTCTTCTGCATGCTAATGATGTTCGGACTAACCTTAACCTTTTTGTGAACGCTACAGATTGTACCAATGCTGAGTAGAAGTAGAGTGCTTGGTATCGGAGTACGGCGCGGTCCATCTCACGAAGGTAATAGTGGGCGATGATGCACCGTCGCTATTGCACTGAGAGGGAGACGTTTACACTCACTTGGTCACAGACGGGACATATTCTTTCGGTACTTGTTCACGGCCTCTTGATTGAAATACCCAACAAAGATTTCGACGATTTCTTGGGACGCGTGATATTACTAGGAGTCAGTAAGCAGCAGATAGGGTTTCACCTTTTCTGCAGCTAGGACCGGATTCTGTATCACGACAATACTCCAGTGCAGGTTCAAGAACACTGGGACGATAACGGTCCGGTACTAATCGTACGTAAATCGTGCAGAGATGCTTTGTATGTCGCAACCAAGCTGCCCCGATTTCTTCTGTAGCTATCGAAGATAGTACCAAATAACTTGAAATCAAGTTTGAATGTGTGTCGCTGACAGGCGTGCTCTCTCGAATACAAAATGATATCACAGTGTCATCCAACCAATTACCGGGATTCAGGGTGACCAAGTTCTTCTGCATTGCCCCAAGCTCATACGTTTCATCAGGCTTGAAGCAAGATATAGCGGTGGTCTTTCGCGTCAAAGGTCTGTACACATGCTTAGGAGTAGACGTCCCTGGAGAATTTCCTCATGTACCTCCACAGGAAATTCCCTACTGCCGAGTTTCTTACTTGAGGCTGGTAAATTTGATTCCTTTTAACCGAACTCGACGCCTGCTCTGCGTTTTTTCTGGTAACTCTATACTTGCTCTTGTGTTTATTTTGGGGATACAAGTCTACACCTGGTATTGGGTCTTTTCGGGTAAACTCGATACCGCTTCTTGTGACGTATTAGATCCTTAAGTATTGGGTCGCTTACCAGGCAGCACAACTGGTTGTAACCTGGGTGTTTTAGTCTTTCTTGGGTATACAAATATAAAAACCGCAAATTTGCGTGATGAATCGGGAAAGTCATTAGCTCCAACGGCCTTCCTGAAATCTTCATTCCACACTCCGCAATAATCTCTGTGCGCGACATTTTTTTCATTCAACCCAGCCTACTCTTTGCCTAGCTTAACCACCACTATTTCAAACACGTTCGTCTGGGAGAGACCTTCGCGGCGTTGCTTATTTTGACGTTGGGTTGATTTTAGTTGAAAACAGGACTTCTTCAGCGCCAAAATAACCCAGTAACGTGGTGTATGGGATGCCAAATATTATTGCTGCCTCTGTCGCACCCCATCCATTTTGTTTTACTGTCACGGTGAGTTCAATCTTTTCAGCGACCATGTGTTGGGTCGTATCTTCCATTTGTCTGAAGATAACCTGACTCAACGGATTGCCGGTTATTTATGATAAGGCTTTACGGGTATTTCCGACAACGGTTTTCGGCTATACTCAACAAAGTTTTATGCGTGTATTATGGCCAAGGTTTTACGGTTATACTCGACGAGGGCTTTTGTATTTATTTGACACACAATGCAAGATCCACGGTTTTTCTCGCGTTCTCGACAAGATTTTTCGGGTATAGTCAACAGTCGTAGATTCTACCACAGAGTCACTGGACCATGTGCACGTTCTCATAATGATTTTGTTTTTCTACTTTACATTTATTCTCGTCAGCACACAACGTATAATAACCTTCTGTATTAAAGGCCCGTACCCACAAGTTCAAGCGTGGTCAGTAAACACGGCCGTTTAGTCCAGTTAATGGTGCAATGTGGCTCAATTTGTACTCATGGACGGGTGTACACAGGTCTAAGATGAAGTTGCCCCACGAGCGGCGATGACAGCACTGGTGAACTTTGGCATATTGGTAGTCTTGCGCAACACTAGGATGTGTAGGGGGAGAAAACAATGGAATCATTCTTTGGAAAGAGTAAGGCTAGGCGCTCCGCTAACATGCGAAAAGTATCCGCTGCCATTTCGACTACTCGGTGTTGAGTGACACGACGATACTTGCGGTGGGCTTCACGACCTTCGCTGATGAGAAACATTTCCAACTCCTCACAAATAATGCGGCGACCGACGCCACTTCTTTGATAGCTGCTTAGCGAGACCTCCTCGAAAGTACCAGCGTTATGTTGCGCTACCCAATCCCGAATGCATTTGCGGTCGACTTTGAACTTGATCGCTGCAGCATGAATAGTTCCTTTCTTGGCATTCTTCGCAATTTGGTGTAAGGTAGACGCCCCGTTGCTATTTCCAAACAGAGCTTAAGTTGTACCGGACGAAGGTCTCGAATCTAGCATACGGTTGATCTAGAACAAACTAGAAATCGTTTTTCTGTGTGGTGACAGAAACAGATGGGGTAGTATTTGAAAGGGGCTTCTAGTACTGGGTGTGACTGTAATAAATTTCACCACCACCTGGGGGTATTTATTTGAGGGATGGGGTTCTAAACAAGTTCTACGGTAGGTATTGACTGTGAACACACACTAGTCACTTTTTAACCTAACGTACGGCAAATACTGGGAGATTGTCGAAATTTCGAAGTCGTGCGCACTAACTACTGAGTGTTCGGCTGTTCTGTTTGATACTTTAGCAAGGGGAGCACACGATCAACTTATTCAAAGACAGAGGACCGTAGCAGACAGTTTGTGGCGGTGAGATGAATGCGCGTATTTGAGGCCGTTATGCTGCCACTTTTAACTTAGCAGCCGGATGGATTTTTATAAGCTATTGAGCTAACTACTGGGTGTATGGTTGATATAGTGATCGCGGAAGCAGGAGCGGTGAGGACGCAGTTCACAATGCTTCACTGACGTCTGAAAATTAAGCCCCGAACCGTTAACAGCGTGTCACCACCGTTTACAAGGGAGCGGCTTTGCTTTCATAATGGTATCTGGCTATACTATGTTGGACATATTAAGAGGATATTCGAGAGCACAGACGGCTTGGCATAGGGCGAACATTAACTACATTAATGAATCCAGCCAACAATCTACCGCAAATAAGTACGTGTAGCCGCCCTACGATTCGAGTTCAAAAGTCAGTTCTTAGTTATTTAACACAATGCGCGCTTACACAAGCACGACCACCCCGCTTTGGACAGTAGTTTCTGGTGTGTATTCATCGACCTTATGCACAGTGCAGAAGCGGCATGTATGCGACGAGATAGGGTTACGGCCTGACAACCGTTGTGCGTACTAATTAGCTAAAAGGTGGTATATAGTATGGCTCGACATAGTTTATTCTGTACATGTATTGTGGTTCTTATCCATTTTGGCAAAACGGATGGTCCGAGATCTAATATCTTGGATACGATTTGCTGAGTGCCTCCCGTATAGAACAAAGTGGTAAGTAAAGTAGCTACTTCGGGCCGGATATGTTGCTGAAAACTCGAAATTATCAATGGTGTGCCAGAATTTTCGCCGTTGGAGGCCAAAGTGGACTTCCCAAAGTCATTTACTAGGACACCTCCTATCAACGACCGCGCCTAATCTAGCTGCCACAAACAATCATAATATCGTTTACTTCACAATCACGCTTCAGTACGCATGGATTTAGAAATTTACATCTTAATTATCTATATACTAACTCGCATAAAGTCGTGGTAGGCATGGTCAACTGAAAGCGACGTCCCCCTGATGGTGGAGATCCAAAGTCTGATCAGAAATAGCCAGAATCGGACCTATTTGCTCTCGTCTGTCAGTTCTAATTGAATCAACCCCGATATATGCCAGCGGATCCGGTGGCAAAGCAATAATGTTACCACAATAGGGGTCTTCGTCTTAAACGAAGTGGTAATGGTAGCCATAGGCCGAGAAAGGGGGTGAATTCTAAAATCTTGGCAAGGCTGAAACAATGCGTTCGCTTTATGGTGCGTGTTTCAATCAAGATCCAAACATGGTCTCAGCTCGTGGTAAAGCCCTTTCACCATTCAATGGATTTTTAAGGGTTGGACTTGGCGATAAGTGTCCTGCCAACAGCAGGTTTAAATGAGGGGAGAAGGGTGGATTGGTGGTTGGATAATGGAACATTGGAATAATGGGGTAACTCACCCATCCCAAGTGTCAAATAGAGGAATGAAGGGGTTAATCGTATTAACAGGAAAATTGCGCTTGGCTACTCTGAACCCTAGGCTAACTGGTGTCTCAGAACCGCACGCGCCGCAATACCCAGCAATACCTTAGCGATTGATTATAAATTTGACTTATAGGTAGATACTTACCGCGGATTCGACGGTTTGTCCTAGTCGATTGCTCGCGCTTCAACGACATCTAGTGGACTGGAGATCCCACGCGGATTCAGCGTACACACGCTCGAAATCAGTGACCGTTTGCCACGATATGTTTTTTTTTTTTCGCATCGTCTTCCCACTCAAGGAAAAACACCAGCGTCGCTTTACACACAGACTCTTAACCGCAAACGGTTCTCCATTGAAGGCTTCAACCTCTAACCGACATCCACGGACGATCCAATTTGCATCGCTGCCAACACTATTTTGCTGTATTAACTAGTTTGACCACCCCTGCCAGCTGGCAAATATGTCCAGCAAACCGGAGTCAATGCGCTTGAAGCTTGCTGCGTGGTGTGCCGCGGATTAATTGCGACCATGTGTAGGGCTGGTTGTGGCTGGTGAAGCGGTCGTTGAGGATCTTTCCGAGTTCCGACACTGGGATTAGCAGCTCGCTGAACTTCTCAGGAAGCTCCAGAAATATACGAAATACATCGGTTGGTAGCTTTGGGTTTCTTACAAAAATCTTCGAAGTGGAGAGCACCCTCAGAATAGCGAGTGCCTTCTCTAGTTGCTTCACGAAGGTCTCGGTAACCACAGTGTCGAATGGATGACATCGTTTGGCGTTTTGTTCTTTGTTGCGCTCACAAAGAAAATTCTGTGACGTGACGAAGGCTTGAAGGGTATTTTCTGCTAGTTAATCGACCGAAGCATTTTCAATAGATTCCACCTCGTGTCGGCCGGCAGAACGAGAGCTGATATTCCTTCCATATGCAGGAGCCGCTTGAGGTCAAACCACAGCAACTGGCTAGCGACAAAGCGCACCATATTACAGCTATTTTCATCAAGCTTTCCGGACCACGGAAGACTCTGTACGAGATATTTCACCACCAGATGCAACGCGTTGAAAATGCACAGGAGGAAGAGCACCTCCGGACACTTTTGTACTAGTTTCGACCAGACCAAAAAGGTTGTGGCGGTGTTGTCCGTCACTACTGCGGCCACTGTCACAAATGGGAGCTTGGCCATCACGCACTTAATATCCGAATCAAAGTACGGTGCGTCAAGCGAATCTGAGCCTGTATACACAGATTCGATGACACCGTCATGTTTCGAATATTAAGACCTAGTTGATCACCATCTTACCGTTGGTCCACTGAGTAGAAAGGACAGTGCAGCTCCTGTTGGCGGCCTTTAGCGTCATCACAGAACAGAAGTCTTCGTAACAGCCATCGAGTAGGCTACCAACTGCTGTCTCCTCGGAACAATATCGGATACGCAGGGCAGTAGCCAGAGAGTGAAGCGATACCTTATTGAACTCCTTTCCCGTCGAGTTGAACCACATTAATTTAAGAGACTTCTTGGTGATGCGGTAGCTTATTCGTTTGACGTCAGTCTTTCCGGACGTATGGATGGTCTTCTCACACTTCAAACACGAAACGATGCTGTCCTCAACGATAACTTCATTCCGGATTGGATCTTGAGACAGGCCGCCGATGCGGGAAGCTGACGGAGGGTCTACATCTGGCAGCATGGAACCAGAAGGTGTGGACGTTGGGTTTTAATTCTCCATCAACTACAGAGTCGGTTCGTTTACTTGTTGTGACGACTTAGAAACCTCAGGGCGTCTGCGGAAATCGCTCCATTGAGTTTAAAAAATAATATGAACGTGATCATCTATATGATGAAAGGATGGCTGAAGATTTCCAAATGGCTCGTGTTAGGATCACCGACTGTTTTGCATAGCCGGGACGTTTTTCACCAACCGACTTACCAGCAAACCCCCAACCAGTTTGGTTTTGGTTGGTAACCCGTAATATATCCTCTTAAGTACGTAATTTATCCGCATAAGTACGACTAATCTCGCGTAGGTACGATTTAAAATCTCTAAAACTGAGATCGTTTGTAGAGAATGTAGGCATGCCGCTGGAATGTTGCGCGTATGTGAGAAAGACTTAATGAAATGGATCTAGTCATCAATCTTGTCGCCAAAGTTGATGTACGATGGACCCCCGAGGTTGAGTAGCTAACACAACGTGAATAATGCATGAGCACGCAATGATATGTATTGATATAGTTACTCTTCGCTCGTGGCTGTGTCTGGGCTTCTGCAAAATACCCCCTTGCTAGTCAAGAAAAGATATCGAAATCGCAAATACGCTAATTGCTCTCTGGCCACGTTTGGGACTGCCATTCCTCGCACCATGCACTCGAAGAACAGCAAAACCAGCGGCCCACAGCTATTGGTATCCTTTTGTCGCGGAGCGTGCTGGCGGACTAATTTGAGATTCGAAGAGTAGTTTCCAAAGTACTTTTTGATGACTGTACAGGCCTGGTTGTAGTATTTGTTCGTCTGCATAGGGTCGAACACCACGGCTCTACTTTTGGCGTTGTCAAATACAACACCTGCCCAGTGTCCATCGAGATAAACCGGCACCAGAATCATTCGGTTGCTTGACCGGAGAGGGGAGCTTCCAATCACTTGCAACTTCATTGCTTCATCGTGAACTCTTGCGTAGAGCGGGTTGACAGCACCAATACAGCTCCTCTTATTCTCATCTTGATCTTGGTCCATGAGGTGGCTCATGACAAGTTTCATGCACGAATCGTCTAGCCACTCCGATCGCCTGAAGAATGCCATCTCTTCGATACCGACCTGTCCAAATCTTGTGTCCATAGTAGTCTTTAAATTCACGGTCTCCAATCTTTTTGCGCAGGCTTGCAAATCTACCGTGACACAGTTGTTGAGAGGACTGGGAAGTGTAATTCGGGCAAAGCGAGAAACTCTGATCCACGCTGCTAGATCACAAAAAGCATCAAACTTCGGAGATTCGTCATGCCAATCTCTCATTGTGATCAAATCTTTCTCCGTGAATGTGCCAAGTTTCTTGATAGATACCCCCATTCTGCCAGCTTCATCGTCGCTTGGAAAGGACTTCCGATACATATTTATACCTGCGATGCACTTGGTAACGTAGTTCTTCGGAAAAACAATCGTGACCTTCTTGTGGACCTTCTGCTTTCGTGCAAGCTGCACGATAGAGGTGGCCTTCCAAGTTGGCGCATCAACTTTGGCGATACTGTGAAGGACCGGCAAAGCATCTTCAACATTGAAACTGCATGCCAATGTCTTACGCACAAGTGCCAGATCCTTCTCTGGAACTAACGTTCCTTGAACAAGAGCTTTTGCTTCTGCAATAGACTCATCCATTCGGAGTTTCTTCGCCTCACGAGCTTGTTTCCGCCTAATTTTTGGCCTTCCTTTGCTTTTCACACTGGTGCTAACGCGAAACTCCCCTGAGATACCTTCATGACTGAAGCTGTCACCAGGACTGCTGTCACCCCTTTCCTTTGACCGGCGTTTTCGAAGTACCAGTTGACACGTGGCTTCGGTAGGCTGGTCTGCAAACTCTCTTCCAGCTCTCACCGACTGGTTGCTGCTTCTCACCGACTGGTTACCGTCATCCACCGAGTGATTGGGTTCGGCGTTGGTAGTATCCACCAATGGAACGGATTTCTCCGCCAAAGATGTGGTGTCGTTCACCGACTGTGACAACTCCGATGCTGCAGCCTTGTCCACTAAATCGAATGTGTTGCTTGGCTTCTGGACCGCGCAAGACACCGACTGGATGGTTGAAGTTTTCAACTGGTTGGTTGCGGTGCCCGACTGTTTGGTGATGACCACCGACTGGTTGGTTTCCTGGATCTTGGCAGATTTTAGAGTGCGTGAGGTAGGTGTATTCTTGTTTCCGGGTTGAACAAGCTCGAACAATTCCGTATCGTCGTTGTCGCTATCCGATGATACCATATCTCGCACTCGGGTAATTATTCGGTTCGTTTCAGCTAGTAGTCGATCGCATTCATCTGGTAGCTGCTCACTTTCGCCATTAATCGAATCTCCACAGTCACTTTCCACATTGAAACCATCCACGGTGGTATTGCTTTGCGCTGTATTGGTGGCCTCGTGTGTTGGCGGTACAGATGAGCTGTCGCTGTCTGCAAGTTCGGTGTCGTGCTGCACATAAAAATCTCCACTGGGTGCTCTAAGTAGACTCTCGACAGAAGTAGTTTGAGGCTTCATCAGAGTCGGCACCACTCCTTCACGTACGCACTCTCCAAACTCACGAAACACTTCTGTCATCCGAAGGAATGTTCGTGTGCCATGAGAGCTCATTGCCTCAACGACGCCCCCGGCAATGTCCATGGCCGTTTTCCACTTTGTCGTTCCATTTAACACTGCGTGCTCGACGGATCGCATGTGTGATGTCTGGACTCGTAGCGACGAGCATGAAATATCTTCATCAGCCTCGTCCTCCTCAGGACGGTTGGTTTCTGCTTGTAGTAACCATCGTGAATGAATGTAGTTCAAAGGGATTATTTTCTTCTTTTGCATTGAAGCACGGACATGCATCGTATGATGACATGGAAGCAGTAGAGTACGCATAAAGAAACAGGAGCATGAAAATGTCTGTGCATAAACAAAAAGGTGTCAGTCATCGAACCGACAGTAATTAAACCATTTTCACCTCAACTTACCGAAACATTAACTGTGTATTCGCGTCCTGTTCTTCGGCTTTCCAGTCTGACGATACCGTCTTGTAACCAACCACCCTCATAGTACAAGACACCGCTCTTGAGAAGATCATACTCTTGACGGACGAGCTCGAACGCGTGTGGGCTTACCAATCCTGCTAATCGAAGTAACATGTCATCCGCTCCATGGTAGTGACGGGACCCAATTACGTTAAACCGAGACGCATACTCCAGCTCCGCCGTCGACTGCAAGAAGACCAGCGTTTCAACGCACTCGTCAAGTTCCATTTCGGGTTTCAGAATTTCCTTTAGTAATCCCCACGCAGATTCAAGACTACAAGACCCAAAGGGTTAGATTTTATCGATAATAGGAATGAAGACGTACATACCGGTTGTTAGTATGGTTGCCAAGATGCGCAACGTGACCTCGTTCGTACATAGTCCACATCTTCTTACAAGAATGCCAATTTCGCATAAAATAGTCAAGAAGAGGGTGATTCGGCTTTGGTAGTTCGCTCTGCTCATCGAAACCATCCAGAATGTAGTACATATATCGAAGGCCTCGGTCATACTCGTCCTTGTCCTTTGCTGTCACCATCATATCCACAGCATCCTCCACTCGATCCACGTCTACCGCGTTACGCCCACCGTACACCGACTTTGCCATCTCAGTGCGCAGGTATTTTTTTAAATGGAAGTGGCAGATCAAGACTCGAGCCAAGGGGAACTCCTTCTGCAAAAGACTCAGCTCGCCAAAGTCCTTGTCAATCATGAACACTCGAATACGATCCCAGGTGGGATTGTTACCCTTGAAGGCTTCAATAGCATCCTTCATGCAAGCGTGACTCTCATTTTCTATCAGCGAATGCTGAATGTATTGTCCCTGTTAAGAAATGCACATCGACGTTAGTCTGTTACGTTCGCGTGTCACCAACAACACCAACCAACAACCGATAGATCACCAACCAGCGGACCAACCAATTACCAACTGGCGGCAACCCAGCTGCCAACTGGTCACCGATCAGAAACCAACTGATCATTAATCTTCGGTAGTACTTACGTGCCCAAACGTGTCGTCAATCATGAAGCTGAAGAGCTTATACTTCGAAGCGTTTGTTCCGTGAGTCGAGTCCAGCATTACTACCTCCGGAAAGGCTTCAAAGAAGCGCTTCATTTGCCGACTCTGGATGGTAATAGTTTGAGTTGTCTTTGTTTCGTCAACGAACACCGTGGCATTGTTACCTCGATACGAGCAAAATTTCCTCAGCACCGCCTCCAGTCTTTCTTCAACGGTGGCTTGTCCACGTCGCTTGGCTTTTAGCCGCTGCACCAAGTTGTGGACATCTCGCAGTATCACGCGCTTACCTGCACAAAACAATAGCACAGTTCAGTTTAACACAGAGCATAATAGACTTTAAAAGTTACGATACCCGTCGTCTCTTGAAGATATTTGAGAATCCTCTTTGGCTTGGCACCGGCCTTGACCAGCTCGTCCACGAAGTCGAGGACGCCAGGATCCGTAACACGCCTTGTCGAAGGGTAGTTCGCGTAAACTTCCTTTCGAAGCCGGTGGTTGTGGGTTCTGTTGTGCGTAGTAACACAGATTCTCCAGCTATTGGTTGTAGGACAGCGAGAAACCGTAGCAGATAGATTAACACCACACCCAGTACTACGACCAATGTGGCCAGTTCTCGTGCCGTCCCCTCGAGGTTTCGTACCCCACCCATGCGTACAGAGCAGCTTTTTGTAGTAGTCCCCAAAGCATTCAGGCACGAGATCGCCCTCCCTCCACTTCTTCTTCTTCCTAATCTTGTCATTTCGAGTAGAAACCCTTGTACAAGTGCGAATACGATAAAGCTGCGACGTCTCCGCCTCGTACTGCCGTAAGTTCTTGAAGAAATCATCCCAGGTGTCGTGCCAGCGTTGAAACGAGGGTGCTGTCTCGCTCACTGCTCCTGCCTCGCTGTCAGAAGAGTCAGATCCAAGCCCAGAGTCGCTCGAATCGCTAGCATTTCGTACAAGCGGTTTCCTTTTGTCATACCCGTTCGTGACCGATATGTCGTCACTGTCGCTCATAATCGTCGTGAATATTGCCGTAGCAGGCGATATCTGGCTGTCTACGCACGATCGCACGCGTCCGGAGCACGCAAAGGAGGGAGGGGTGTGGGGGTGTGAGGCAACGGATTCCTGGAATGAAAGGCTCGCAGGACGTGCGCAAATCTCCCCTCCGTTTTTCCAAATTTCAGATTTTTGTCGAGACCGTAATTTATGTAAAATACGAAGCCGCAGTAAATTACGGTCGTCGTGTCGTCTTTGTCTCGTCCCGGCTGTGCATTTTGGTTTGTGATCCTATTCACTTCCTTTCCAAATTTGTTTTTGTTGGCCTGACTCTGTGCAATAAGAACTTTCATTGGTCAAAATTGTACATACTGATCGAGAATGTTGACCAAACAAATGCTCAGATGTGACCCACGTCAAGAGAATATGAGAGAAGCAAATCAAATAAAGGCGTGTACAGATTCCATTCCAACTTCGATATCTTATTCGCCGTATGAAATTAAAAGGGACAGTTGATATCAACGTGGCCTTCACAACAATTCACTAAAACGAGTTAGTCCAACATATTTATTTTGAAGGGGTATTTAGCAGCCTTAGTTTCAGGAGTTGATGCGGAATCTGTATACGGAATCGTCAAAGGATCGCTTCACTTCATTTTTTGACCCATCAAAAAATGCTGATTCTTCGCCGAGCTGTGAGTCTGTTCGATTGCGTCGCGGCCACGAAGATAACCATTGCCAGAGGTATGAGTGAGGCTGCTAGACCGCCGGTACCCCCGTTCACGCGCGAGACCGCAACCCTGAAAGTGCGAGCTGCCGAAGACGCCTGGAACTCCCGCGATCCCAAGCGAGTCGCCCTCGCCTACACCATCGACAGCGCGTGGCGCAACCGCTCCGAGTTCATCAACGGGCGTGGGGAAATCGAGGCCTTCTTGACCCGCAAATAGGAGCGGGAGTCACAGTACCGGCTCATCAAGGAGCTGTTTGCCTTTGATGGCAACCGGATTGCCGTGCGATTCGCTTACGAGTGGCTCGATGCTGAGAAACAGCAATGGTACTGCGCATACGGCAACGAGAACTGGGTGTTCGACGCTCAGGGCTACATGGCCAAACGCTTCGCGTGCATCAATGACGTCCCGATCGACGAGAAGGATCGCCGCTTCCACTGGCCACAGGGTCGTCGGCCTGACGATCACCCTGGACTTAGCGAGCTTGGGCTCTAGGTCGACGTCAGAGATGGTCTTGCCAGTTGCAACAACCTGTCACCGCCATGTCGCGAATTTCTGATTTCGAAAATCCCGTTTCGGCATAAAGGAGGAACATAACGTAAGGTAGGCAATAAAGAAGCGAAGGTTGCCACAGATCCCTATGCGATTTTTGATGATGGATCAAGCGACCATCACTCCTCTTCTAAAAATAGTTGTTTTGAGGCCAATCACCTTGCCCCAACCGCCTCTCCCTCCTTTCGTATTGGCCAAAAATACCGTCGAACTGAACCGCCGATGCCCGAAAACGCAAGCCCATAGTCAAAAAGCCCAAGAAGTGCAAGAAACAAGAAGAAGCCTCAGTGTGCGGTCAGCCTGCCAACAGAGCTCGCTCGTAAGCCCAGACCCAAGAGCACCCAGCACATTTAGACAGACATGGCTACCATATACAGCGGCGCGCCGTCCACTTCGCGTTTCCCGTTCACACACACGCATTACACTTCCAACGCTGACGCCGCCGCGCAGATGCAAATGCAGCAGTTCCGATACGGTGGCTACGCCATGGAGAATCAGATGGAGGTCTCGTCACCGCCCTCCTTAGCGCCGCCGGGCGCCACACTCGGCCTTCTGAGCAAACAGCAAATGTACGCCGAGTCTAATGCCATGCGCCTATCATCGCCAGTGTACAGCAACCAGCAGAACGTGTCGAGTATGTATATGCAGTCTATGATGAACAAGATGTATCAGCCACAGCAGCCTCATCCTCCTCCCATGGATATTCCCCACCAACAGACAGAAGTGCTACACGTGTCGCCCGGCGTCCCTACGCCGGTAGAGCTGTCTATTTATGAGAACAAGCAGCCCACGGGATTTTTACATGTGACTGTCGGCAACCAGACTGTCGAGTTCTTCGACGGGGTAGCCAACATGCCGCAGAAGCGGTAGATGCATTTCTTCGCTCCCAGAGTAAACGTGACAGCATCCCGCGACTAAAAGACGGGCTGTGTTCCCTCCTCCATCCAGTAAACGAGTCACCAAGTTGTGAATGGACGCCCTCTTCTGATAAGAACGATCCCCAGTGCTGCTAACCACCCCAAGAACCAGTCTCCAGAGCAAGCGTCGCATAGCAAAGAGAAACAAGGTGGCGGAGTGCTATAGAAACTCTTCTCGTCTGTGTCATCGTGGTGTATTGCGTCAAGTTTCGAGCCAAGGCCAGCCAGAGGCAGCTGGTTTTTCTTTTGTGTGTATTTTATCGGCAGCTCGAGCATTTTTGCTGTCGTCAAGCGCCTGTACTTCTTCATTCTCATCCATTTTCACGAGCCTTTTCAATTTAATACCAAGAAGACAACGAACCAGTTTTGCTTTTCCACACACGTATATTTCTATGGATAGCTCTACCTTTCAAGCCCGCAAACTCTGTTTCGGTGGTTGTATCGATCACTACACCAACTGCAACCTCCTCCAGCTTATTCCTGTGTTGGCTCAGGTTGAACTGGAGTGGCCTTCGGTTCCGGAGTAGGGACGGAGATTCCGCGTGCTTTCAGACGGCTGGCAATTGTCCCGTACTCGAACACAAGGCCTCCCACTTCAGCATCGTCTTCGAAGATTAGAATGCCGTCGCTCTCATCCGTCAGTCCAAGCTCCGCCTCCGAGCAGATCATACCTTGCGAGACTTCTCCACGCAGTTTGGACTTCTTGATCTTGAGTTTCTTGCTGCATATCACATCCACAGAATGATTAGGTGAGCAAAGTGCTGTAGCTACTACTAGTGTGGTATGGTCCAACGTACAGCTCGCCGGTCTCGGGCTCCTTGATGGCCAAGCGCGTTCCTACTTTAGCGACGGGTACGCGTGCGCCTTGGCGCACGTTAGGGGCGCCGCAAATGATCTGCAGCAGATCGTCCTTGTCACCGATGTTGACGGCGCAAACGTTCAAACGGTCCGCTTGAGGGTGCAGATGGAAGTCCACAATCTCGCCGACCACCAGCGTGTTCCATGTCGTCTCCACTACTGGTTGCTGTGGGGCCTTCTTCTTCTGTACAACTGCGGCAGCCTCTTCACCAGCAGGAACAGTAGAAGAACTGAAGGCTGCAAACTGGCTGCAGAGACCGCGGAGCAGCGTCGCGCGAGGCTACGCGCGACATCGGAGCGAGAGGAGCATTATTTGTACTACTAGTATGAGGTTGAGAATCAAAAATGAAAGGCTATAACCGCCGAAAATTGATTTGCTTTTCGATCACCGAAAATAAAACTCGGTCCAAGTTGAAGTATCCTGACGATTGCTGGAGACGGTATGTTGTATATTGTCGACTCTCTCTTGGCAAATGCTAGATGCATCGCTGCGACAAAAAGATGGTTTTGTCTCCTTGTGATCCTGCAACCATCTTCATCCATAGTCTAAGCGCGTGCGAAAGTTCGTCCGGTGATGGTCTTCTTCTGGGTCTTGGACTGGTCCTTTTCGGGACGTGCACGGTTCAACACTAAAAAGCAACAAACTCGTTAGTCAATAGATGAAACAAGCCAAGCTAATACACGGACGACGTACCTTGCAGCAGCAGGTCCACACGCTTCCGCATGCGGATGTGCAGGTACGTCTTGGAGGCCTTGATGTGATAGTGGAGGTAGTTGCGCAGACCTTGAACGAGGGTCGCTGCTTTGACGCGCTTTTCAGTTGTGTCCACGTGGGTAGGGAAGATAGCAAGGCTAAGGTAGCCCACCAAGTCAGGCGAGTGACGGAGACCTGGAGCACCACGCAGCTCAAGCGGTGGGTCCTTGCCAAAAGCAACAGGCGGGGCGTTGTTCACCGTGCGCCGGGTGTCAACAAATTCCTATATAGCAAGCCACATCACTAGTCAGTGCTTGACAAAGTCCGTTCCTAAAACCAGTAGCATACCTGCAAGAAGACACGAGCGATAGCCTGGTCGGTCTTGTCCTCGAAGCAGACCGAGTACACAATGACGATACGGTCTGCTTGAGGAAGAACGTAAATCGTCTCGTTACGACGGTACGGGATCTGCACTGGGCCAAGCGTGCTCGCATTGCCGTTCTGAAGCGCCTCAAAGCACTGCTCAAATGGAGAACCCATAATGTTGCGCTTCAGGATCGAGATACGCTCAATGAAGGACGCTGAATCGAAGTGGGCAAGCAACATCATTCATCGGTTAACAGACGAGCAGGGACATATCTTCAAGCTTAAAGAATACTGCATCAAATACACGCACCAGCATTGGCGGGAGTGATCACGTCCACGTTCACCTGCAGTGAAAAGTCAAAACCTGCCTTCGGGGCGACAAGCTGAAATTCCGGGTATCTCGCGGCGAACATTTGTTTGGCACCCAATCTGCCAAACCACACAAATTAGAATTGCATTGCGTCCCTTTCTCCTTCTCAATTGCAGCGCACGCACCCTTCCAGCGACTTGTACGGAGGGTAGGCCATTGAGACCGTCAGGAGGTTGTCCACGATCGACATGTCATACTGCACGTCTGCAATTACGGTCAAGCAGTCAGTACTCTGCTCCTCGTATTTCCATTTAAATCCCCGCCTGTACAACGTATTGTACTGCTAAACTCACCGTCAAAGTCGCACAGACGGATCTCCAAAGGCTGCACGGGGCGAGGCGCTCTGAACGTTGTGAAAAAGAGGAATAAAGTCAGCAACAAAAGGAGTATGCAAACAGCGCCTGCAGCGCAGTGGTCCAGCCACCACAAGAACACGTACTTCTCCCCCAGACGTCCCTCCAGCACCTCCTTAATAATCTTGTTCTCCGACTCGAGGAACAGCATCGTGTCTGCAGTCAGAAATCCTCAGTTCCCAGATGTGAAAATGCCTTCATCTCCCCCGTCTTGACGACGGGTACCGTAATCATGGTACACGCGCCTTGAAGCACTGCTGTCGCAGACTCAGATATTCTCAGATTATTTTTAGTTTTCAACCAATGATGCATCGCCAAATAGAAACAATTTGTGGTGTGTCATCGTCACATCTGGACCTGTTCCTCCTTGCAACGATGTCGACGCGCCCTTCGCTGCCATCTTCCACATCATCCATGAGCCTCGTGAGCGGTCCTGGAGAGCTTGAGTATGGCGGCTACGGTCGCGTTCTGTTCTGCGGCCAGCTGGAGAAGCGCCGCGACGGCGCCGTGCGCGGTGGCTGGGCCTCGCGTCTCTTCGTTCTCACACCCGAGACGCTGCACTACTACCGCAAGGCCACCGAGTTCGAGCTACTGGGAGAGGAACGCGGTCACGTAAGTAGTACGGTCAAGACTAATTGGTGAAGACAACCAGGGAACGTGTGCAATTCCAGCTAACGATAATATGTGGTTTATACGTCTGTTAGATCGCACTGTCCTCCATCACGAGGGTACGCGCCATGCCGGAGGACGAAGCGCCCTACTCGACAGCAGAGCCGGGAGTAGAGCACTACTACCTTGAGATCTGCACAGTAAGTACTGCATTGAGCTGAAACTATGGAATTCTTGAGTATTAACTGCCTTGATATAGGAGGACCGGCTGTATCTGATGCGGACGCCGGTTCGAGAGGCGTCAACATGCGAGAGCTGGTCAATCGCTATTGAAGAGCAGCGCAAGGTGCTTCGATCGGGGAAGGCGAATAAACGTGAGTGCCCTTCGAGCTCTGTCCCTTTCCCGGAGGCGCTGCCTAGCCCCACTCTGCTAGCACGCAACCATGAGCTTTTCTCCCATTTCGTAAGTTGGTCGTCTTACGGCGCCTGTTATCTTGGATCTGTTCACTAGAGTATAAAAGCGTGCTCCTGTTTGCGAACGAACAGGAAGCGTCGCCACCACGGGTTGCCATGGTCTCAGTCGTTCACGTGAGCGAGCGAGATGGACGTCCTGCTGAGAAGGTAATCAAGCGACGGACCGAGTGGGGCGAGAAGCTGGACCTCGGTGTAATCCCGCAAGGAGGAGCATGCGTCATACTTCTGCAGGATGGAGGTCTCGGTCGTATTGGTACTCAAGCTCTCATGAGCAGCTGGGATTCGGGGCGTGTCTGCTGGATTGAAGTGACCGATGCCGAGTTCCCTACCGAGATCGAAGTGTCGGTAACATGCAAAGTGTTATCGCAGGAGACCAAGTTGAAGTCTCCTAAGACTCAAAGCACTCAAGAAGGGCTACCGAAGTGGGTCGAGTGGGTGGACGAAGGCTCCAGTATCGGCTTTCTCTTGATGTGCCTCTTTGTTCACCTGCTGTATGGCGTTGACGGCTTCCACTGGTCGCACAAGTGCTGCCTCACGGTCGGTGCAGCACTCGCCATCTCGACTATTCTCAACGGATCTACTAGAAACCCACCGACACCAGCACCGACGCCTCGACACTCTAGTCCCACCAATCTACTACCCAAGCTGCAGTTCACCCTCACAGTTCATCGCTGCCGGATAAAAATGGAGGGTACAGAGTACATTTACCCACAGGCTAGCGACAATAAGTAGACCGCTCCAATAACTCACGGATAGAGCGGATGGAATGTGAGCAACGTACGTTGCACGTGCGCACTATCCATACTTCGAGTTAAAGTGGGAGCGACTCAAAAGGAAATGAAGCAGCTTCAAAATAAATTACTTATCCTACCAAGGCCTTCAATATGCGTCGCTCTTTTTTCTAGTATATAAGTTCGTCTCAAGATTCATGCAATCAGCCCACCACACGTCCTGTGGCACGTCGAGCTGTGTCCAGGAGTGAAATCACGGCTTGGCGATCCGAGTCAGCATATCCCAACTCAATTAGGCGCTGGCTGAACTCCTGCAGTGTCAGCGCGCCACAAGAGAGACTGCTCATTCCAAGCATTACGTCCATAAGAATTTCCGGTCGCTTGATCTTCAGTAGAGCAGCACGCTCGATGAGGCCCATGGACGGGAACGACAGCTTCCACAACTCGCGGAACTTCCGCTCTGCCACTTCGGGGTCCTCAATTGAGGGTACTGCGGTATTCGCCTCGACATTGCACGTCTCCATTTGGAAAGACCGCGTACGAGGGGCATCAGGGGGACGACCGGACGTCTCGATTTGCTGTAGCGTATCAACAATGCCCTCGGATGAACTACGCTCGCGGAAAAATCGGTCACGAGGCGACTGCAGCTCCCGTCGGAATTGCTGGCGCGTACGCTCCTGTTGGTGATGGCGCGCGTATTGCTGACGGTGATTACCGTTCGCGTACCGCGTAGATGACCCGTTCAGCTGCTTGGTTCCGCGTTGGCTGTATTCCTGAATATTGCCGGCTTTACCTACCGAGACGAACACCTCGGCCTCATCCGGCAGTCCCACGATCTCCTCCACAGTGCGAATGGGCTCGCCATCATCCCGAGAAATGTCAATAATCTGGTTCTCCTTGACACCGAAGCGAATCTTCAGCACGTCCATGATAACCTGAGGTTCTGTTCCCTCAAAGTACGAGATGCACACTGTGCGTCCAAATGTCGATAAACTGTTTACGTTCAAGTGCTTGCAACGCTGCATTCGAGGTTGGAGACCCTTGCGCGAACGCGGGAGGTTGATCTGCCACAACCTGCTCACACACACTTGACACACACGACGCGGTCGCTGCTCATCGATCGCGCCATTACTAGCTGCACTCTTCTCGCGCTCCGGATTGGCCAGTCGTGTGTTGGTGCACTTGCTGCAGAAGGCCTTGCGGCAGTAACTGCACTTGTGTTTCCACTCCAGCAACGAGAACATTTTGCGGCAGCGAGAGCAATTTTCCGTCCTGTTCGAGTGGACCTGCAGGGGCACAGGTCGATCAGGGATCAAGTTCTGCAACATCGTGTCTACTTCGTCCGGTGTGATGCTGTTGCCCTTGTATAGTCGGAATTCTTCCACCATAAGAGACTTGACGAACCCTTGGTTCGGATAGACGACACCACGGCTAGCCATGGCGAAATTCACAGCCGTGACGAGCGACCAGTTGTTGGCGCGCATTAAATACATGATAACAAGGGTGGCCGAGCGTGAAATGCCCTGCGTACAATGGACCAGAACTCGGCCATGCTGCGTACGCTTGGCGGACTCAATGAACCTGTAAGCGGCGTCGAAGTACGAGCCAATATCTGCCTCCGGTCGGTCTTTAATGGTGACGTTCAGGTACTTAACTCCATCGCTCTCAAACGTGTTACCCACGTCTAGACTGGCGTTGACAACATGCGTAATACCCAAATGGGACATCACCTGCTTGGACTGCGCATGCCACATATTGCCTAGAAAGAGGAAACCCTCCAGAATCTCGTTGGGATAGTTCAGGTTGTGAGTACCGCTCTTGGTTCGCGTCAACTGCCCCGAAATCTCGTCTAGCATTGCCGAAGTGGTGTAGAATGGGTAGCGGTACTTAAACGTGAGGAAGCCGTCACTCAGCAACTTGACACTGGTTACAAGTCCGTCCTCGATGATGAGTTTCTCGAGCTTCCTGAGCCATTTGCAGGTCTTGGAGTCATTCGCATCATCCGCTGAGCTTTTCTTCACTGCGTCTCCGAACAGAACGACGTCGCGTAGTTTCCTCTTCTTACTGGAAAACAAATACCGCTGCTCTTCAAGTAGTTCGCTCTCTACGTCTTCTAGCGTTTTGCAGCCTTTCATGGGAGGGATAGAGATAGCGGACGGAATGGAGTCTTTCTCGTACTCCTCTCGGGTCCTTGTGTCGATGAGGATCATGCCGCGCGAGGCCTGGACCTGGTTATATAGCCAACGGCAGTTCACTTCGCCGCGGCGAACGAGGCGCTTGCGAGGTGGCGGCACAGGCTCGCTCTCCTCAACGGGACAGGTGCCGTCCACGACTGCATCGTCCTTAGTGACGTCTGTCGCTGCGCTCTTGTTGCTACTACCGCTACCGTTGCTCTCGTCGCCCACCGACATGCCGTTTCCGAGATGCTGTTGCTCTGTATTCGCACTAATCGTACTGGTACACGCAGTTGGCTGGTTCAAGGCGCTGCAGGGCGTAACGCCGCGGCGTGTGGTCGGTGCTGGGCGGCTAGCGATAGAATAGGTGTTTGATGCCGACGGCGGCGCCTCTGGCATTCGCTGGTTACCTTCTTTGCCGCTTCGGTAGGCGAATGCGTTGCTGGGGGACACCGCGGCGGGGAGGCAAGTGGCAGAGATCCGGAGCCTGCGGTCTGGTTCATAACTGCTGGAGACTACACAGTGCACACACGCAAAGCCAGGCAAGCGCGAGATAGGATGGGGCCTATGATGCCTCTAAATTATGATAACACACATTATAACTGGACGTCTTGAGCGGAATAGCCATGTGAAAAAATACAAATTGGATGGGCATAGTACCTTTCAAATTATATATAATTGAATTCATCCGACGTCTTCGGAGAAAAAGCAAGTCCTCGGAAGAAAAAGCTCAATCTCCGGCTTTCTTAACACTATGGACCATACATTACGCAAGTAAATTCGTTCGCCTCTTCTTCCTCCACGCTAAAGTTACACTGTAACTTACCGTGGTGCATTGCGCGGCAACTGTATGCACCGGCAACAGCAGCGGCCAATTCTGAGCATGGACGCCCAAGTAGGGCCCTACAGGAAATAATGCGTAGCAATCACGGGGATTGGACGAGCGTGAAGGCGAAGCAGCTGAACTTCAGCATGAAGCCGCTGTCGAAAGCTGCGTGCCAATAGCCAACATTATCTCCGCTGGGTATACATGCGTGTACTTCAACGTATAGTGAAGTACCTAGTTGAACAGTGGCTACATGGCCTGTTTGTCTGAGCAGAGCGACTCCTGTACATGTGGGACGCGGGTTTGGACCCGTTTGAAACGGCGTTTCCGTCCCGCTCACAAGATGGGAGGCGTCGACAACAGTGTGGAAGCATCAAGATGGTCAACCGCGCTCTCTGCTGTTGCATGTTCAGCTTTGTTGCTGCATAAGAACTGCAGTAACAGAGAGCACATCCTTTTCAGACGGTTCTGATACCATGCTACCCTTTATTCCAAGACGACATTGTAACTCGGGACACATGTACTTGAGATTCGCGCCAGATTCGATACCATCTTGCACTTCTGAGGGTACAGATTGTTGCTTCTAACGAGTATCTTACAAAAAAGGTTTACTACTAGTCGGTCGATCACATGACGGAGCACTGACTGTCCTTCGATGATTCCGCTGCCAGCTCTAGAGACGGAGAAGTCCGTCGCTGCAGCCTTGCTGGCTGGCTCGGCAGACTGCCGCTCGTCAACAGATCGAGCTCGTCCTCTGTAACGCTGCATTTGTTGTGGAACAGCCGTCGCTCCTCTCGCAGCAGCGCACGCAAAAAGCCTTCGTTCGGGACAACTACGCCGCGGCCTGAGCGCACGAAGTTGAACGCCTGCGCCAACGACCAATGGTATGTACGCATGACGTAGACGATCACAAGTGTCGCCGACCGGGAGATTCCATGCGTGCAATGTACTAGTACCCGACAGGGTCTGCCATCCGCAGTCGTCGAGCGCTGTGCTTGTGTGATGAACTGGTACGTAGAGTTGAAGAACTGTGTGATGTTCTCGTCAGGCTTATCGTCCAGCTTGGCGTTAAAGTACTTGACTCCGTCCTTCTCGAAGACGTTGTCCACCTTGCGCGTTGCATTCACCACGTGCGTGATCCCCAAGTCCAGGAAAACTTGTTTGCACTGTGCCTGCCACATATTCCCGAGGAATAAAAAATTGTCGACGATCTCATTCGGGTACGAAACCTGGTGCTCACCGCTATGCAGCACTCCGTCGTCCACGATGCCCAGCGACGTGTAGAACGGGTAGCGCTTGTGGAACTCTGCAAAGCCCTCGCAGAGCACTTTAATGCTGGCAGCGCGTCCTTCATCGAGAAAGAATTGCTCCAGCTTGTGCAGCCAAGACTCAGGGTTCGAAACGTCTTCCTCGTCTGCGAAAAGCAGCATATCGCGCAGCGAGCGTTTGGCGGCCGATAGCCCCAAGTTCTCGACGTACTCGCTGCAAGTGAGGTAGTTGTCGTGCTCCGGCGGAGGTACATTAATGGACCCGAGCACCGTATTAGCAAGACAATTCGCGCTTGAGCGGCAGTCGATGAGTACCTCGCCAACGTGGATATTGTTGAATAACCAGCGACTGTCCACCAGGCGCCGACGCAGCGAACGCTTCTTGCAGAGGACGGAAGTCGCCTCCTTCTTGCAGGTACCCGCCGGTAATTCCTGTTCGAGTCGCGTCTCGCCCATGTCTTTCCAAGGTAGCAAGTGTCTTCCACGCAACAGCTATGATATCCGAAAGTGCCTTGATCTTGCCACCAAACACTCAGGAGCCATTTGAAAAACGACGCCATGCAATTGGCCAGCGGGAATCAAGGAGCCGGTGGCAATTACCTGTTTTACAGCATTCCCCGTATAAAATGATACAACGTTTTTGGTATTTGCCAGCCGAATCCCGTTCGAGCCGACCTGCTGCCGACTACAAAAAGCGTTTTGTAGCCGGACCCAAGCACCAATAAATTCGGATGGGGCTGTGGATCTCTGCTGCGATTTCTCAGCGCTGCCACCGCCATGACAAGACAAGGCAATCGTCTTGGAAGCCTTCGAATCAGCTCGTCTTTGCTGGCTCCGCCCGCCCCGGATCTATCTATGCGAAAAGCGGCCCGCGCAAGAGCCGCCTCTTGCGCAGGAAGACAGACATCCTGCAATCCCACGCACCTGGCTCCATTTCATCAGGTCACCTTGAATCTTTGGCGAAGCTTTTGTGAGGATGGCACACAGAGACCTGCGTTATTAGGCACGCCGCTCGCGTACAGGAATGTATGCCAAATGATTTGGCCCAAATAATTAGCATTATCGAATTTGGCAGCACGGTTCTCGTTTACGGTACTTGTGGTCCGTCTACACCTGACCCGTCACATGCGGCAACTGTACATAGACGACCAGTGAGAGATTGGCTGCAGCACGCGTGGCTTCAAGCACGCGAGTTCTTCGATTAGGGTCATTAGGTACATTACAGCACATTCAAACGGGGGGAGGGAATCATTGCTGTTTACCTCAGTTTACTGAAGTCCAAAACGGGAGCTAATTTCGGTTCTTCCTTGCTAGGGAACATGCGTGTTTCCAAAACAACTTGTACTATCAAACTCGTAGGCGTATGCAAAATTATCCGTCGCACTAAAAAGACTTGGAAGAGGTTGCTTGGATACTTCACTTGAGCCCCGTTTCCCTGACAAGACGCGATCCGAAAGCATTTACAGTATGTAGATGGGAAGGCCACCCTAAATTTAATTTAAAATCTTTAACCTTTATAAGTATAGAAGAAAAGTGAAAATCGGAGATTTTTTTTTGGGTCAAATTTGGTGCAGGTCAAATCCTGCGCAACTCGCTTTTTGGGTCAAATTTGGATCAACTCTCCTTAACCCTCGCCAAGGGTCAACCAACGGTCAAATTTTATCATCACAGGCAGGTAGAGTCTTATCGTCTATCATAATGCATTCTTAATCAGTAAATATAAATATTAACTTTGTTGTAACCAATCCGAACAGTTCAATATTTCAATACACTAAATAAATCGATAAACCAAATTGCGTCCCAGAAATGCGTCAAGTTCCGTCGGGGCCACCACCAGTTTTCGTCAACTGGAAGCAGCAAATGCTGCTTGCGACGGACCAAATTGGGATTCGTGATGTAACGTTACCCCCGAACGATGTATGGAGAATGGTACGAGACCAATTTCTCGATGACGACAATGTCATTGTCAAAGGCGCGACCAAAACCCAAGTTTTGGGTCGTTTGTACAGGACCAGCACTAAACATTTTGGTCACGACATTTTCGGGCGCCTGGAGATGGAACCACTTTGTGACGTGAAGATTTCGGCTGGTCTCAAGTTTTTCCAGTTTCACTATGCGTACTACGAAGACGAAGTCCTACAACGCATCATTAAGTGGGCGCATCCGCAGCTGATGGACCGTATCAAGCAACGACAGTGCTCCATCTTCATCGATGCCACCTACCGATGTGTGCCTATTCGATTTTACCAACTGGTAATTTTGATGCTCTACGACCCAATTTCGGATCCGTATCTACCAATTTGGTACGTGTTGACTACGGGGAAGACATCTCATGTTTACGAGCACTTGCTGCACTCAATCTTCGTCTCATCCAAAAAGAAGTTAGCCCCAGCTCACGTGGTGTGTGATTTTGAGTACGCACGCATCAAGGCCGTCAAGACCCAGTTTCCTGATTCTACAATTGTGGGCTGTTTGTTTCATTTCAAGCAAGCGCTGCGACGGAAAATGTTGAAGTTGAAGATAACCGAGGCCGAGGTGAATCTGGCTATGCTTGACGGTTGTAGTGACCGACTTACTGTGATCCGGCTTGTCGACATCGTGTTTCGTGGAATTCCAGATGTTCGACGCATGATCAAACGTAGCTGTGGATACCAAGGAATTCAGTACTCTAAGGATAACAGGACGAAATTCTGGAAGTACTTCAAGACAACCTGGATCAAAAAAATTGTTCCGGCATGGTGGAACACCAATCGTTGGGCGAAGACATTGTAAATCAAACCAACAACCCTCTGGAACGCTACAACAGGACGCTCAACGACGCTTTTTCTGTTGCGCATCCGGAAGTGACCCAATTCATTCATCAGCGTGATTGAAGCTCAAAGCAGGGAATACGTTCGACTCATCAACGATATATCCAACCGCAGAACCACCGCTCCTGCCCATGCACCAGCTCAGCCTGCTCCGGCGTTTGACTCGGATTCGGACTTCGAAGTGGACTCGGACTCGGATTTAGTTGTCAGTGACCCAGGCTCTGAAGCCTGGGATGGTGCTTCCGTGGCCTCGAGATCTCCTGAATACTGATCTACATACAAAACAATACCTATTTGATTTCTACAGATTCTAATCAAATACATTGTGCCCATTCTACTACGGTTTTGCATGATGGTACCTATTTTTATTGACATCGGACTAAAATGTACTTTTCAAGTATTTCCTACTATTCAGTGATACGATATCCCTCTGTATGCCTGGGGCCGCTGTGATTTTAGATTTTAGCGAGATTCACTTATCCCAAATCCTTATCAGAAGGGGAACCCGACTCATCGTACTGAGCATACTGGCGGTCAATCAAGTTCACTCGGTGGCACCCGTCGGCCGCATTTGTGCAGTTCTGTGAGAGCCCCCCAGTGAGCGTGACCGAAAGTCAATATACTAGTACTGAGTTGAGTTTTGCTGCCAGGTGGAATCGAACCACCGACCTCTCGTTTATGAAGCGAGATCTTTACCACTAAGCTATGG